GAGAGAGAGAGAGAGAGAGAGAGAGAGGGTCTCCCTGTGTAGTTCAGGCTGTCCTTGAACTCACTAGCTCAGGCTGGCCTCCAGTTCACAGCTATCCTCCTGGGATCACAGGCATGCGCCACCGTGCCCAGCTACCCTCATGTATCACAGATGCGTAATAAATGGTTGTTGAGTGACGAATTGCCTGTGGTGTGAATGGGCTAGAGTATACCAGAGTCCTGGGCCTGGAGGTAGCTGCAGAACTGTTGAGGGATGGAGAGTTCCGCTCTGGTCTAGACTTAGCTGTTGGCATTAAGTGAGTCTCAGCCCCTCTTTGGGCTTCACTCTCTTCATTTATGCTACAAGGGCCAGATAAGCTGACCACAGGCTTGTCCCTGACTGCTGAGTCAGCCCAGCTTGGTTTGCACAAAGTACACGTGTGCCTATACTCCTGGGCCTCCCTGGTGCCCATGATCTGAGCTGCAGCTGGCAGAGGTGGGCCAGGCAAGGTGGGGCCTGCTGCTGTCATGCTGCCTGTGCCATCCCACCCCACTTCTGCTGGTTAGAGTGATGGCTGCACTGGTTTACTAAATGCCCACTTTGCCAGGCCCTGGGCTCTGTCCCAGGGAGGCCAGTGTTGGATTTTCCTAGATGGCCCATGAAGTGGCTGTCATCTTAGAGACCAGCAGCCAGAATGATTACCCACGGTTTCAGCAAGGAGGTGGCAGAGCTGAGGTTGGCTTCAGTCCCCCCTCAGCCCACGTACCACCTCTTGCTTGGCATATGCTCAGAGTGTGACTGAGTGAAGTCCCTTGCCCCGTGTAGGTCTTAGCACACCTCCGCCAGTGGGAGCAGAGTGCCCACCCATTGCCGGGCTCTGCAGGAGCCTCTTCTGCCTTTGTGGAGCACATACATAGTGGCCAGGAGCGTGGGCTCGGCTTCTGTGCCAGCTCTTGTAGGTAGTGGCTGTGAAGAGCTTGGACAAGGAAAGGACTCAGTGCCTAAGACTGCAAGACTATCTTTCCTTCTTTCTAGGTTTCTTTTCTTGTTCCTGAAGTGTAAAACGTCACAGACAAGTCCCTGGATCGTTAACCCACCCCCATAGCAGTTTCCCTATAAAGAAGCAGACCCAATGGCCAGGGATTTAGCTCAGTGGTGCCACACTGCCTCGCAAGTGCAGGGTCCTGAGTTTGATCCCCGGTACCAAAAAAAAAGAGAGAGAAACAGCCAGATGGCCACCTTAAGTCTGTGTCCCTCCCAAGCAGTAACTGCTCTCCTAACTTGTAACTGCATACAGGAGTTTTTCTGTTTTTGTCTTTTAAATGAAGATGAGATTTACATGTGAAACTAACCATTGAAAATTGTACAACTCATTGGCCTTTAATGTATTCACAATGTATAGCCACTACTTCTATCCCGTTCCAAAATGTTTTCAGGGCGGGGCGTGGTGGCACACACGCCTGTAATCCCAGCATGGGAGGCTGAGGCAGGAGGATCGCTGTGAGTTCGAGACAGCCTGGGCTACCTAGTGAGTTCCAGGTCAGTCTCAACTACATAGTGAGACCCTGTCTCAAAAAAACAAAACAAAACAAAAAAACAAACCAAAATGTTCCCCAGAAGAAAACTTTGTACCCATTGAGGAGTTAGTCTCCATGTACTTTTCCTCCTTGTATCTGCAGTCACCAGTTTGCTGTATATATTTATGGATTTTCCTATTCAGGACACTTCATATGAATGGAATCACTTAATATGCAACCATTTGTGTCTGGCTTATTTCACTTAACATAATAGTTTGAGATTCCTCTGTGTTACAGCATGTATCAGTAATTCCTTCTGTTTTATGGCTAAACAATTGATTGCATAGATGCATCACATTTTATTTATCCATTCATCTTTGATGTGCTTTGGGGTTTGCCCTTTGGCTGTTGTGAGTAATACAGCTCTGAACAAAATGTACAGTATTTGAATACCAGCTTTCAGTTCTCCCATGTACATAGCTAGTGTTGTTGACTGGTGTGGTGGTGCATGCCTGCAACCCCAGTGTTCGGGAAGCTGAGTCAGGAGGATTGCCATGGGTTCAAGGCCAGCCTGGGCTGCATAGTGAGTTCAAGACCACCTGGACTAAACAGTGAGACCCTGTCTCAAAAACCACACGCACATACAGAGAATGGGTCATAGATTCTATATTTATAATATGTATTTAGAAGCTGGGTATGGTGGCGCATGCCTGTAATCACAGTGTTTGGGAGGCTGAGGCAGGAGGATTGACATGAATTTGACTCCAGCTTGGGCTACATATTGAGACTCTTGTTTCAAAAAATAAATATATATATATATATATAATATATGTGTACGTACATATATATATATATAATATATATAATACATATTTGTAATCTAACATGCCTAACTATAAATATGTGGGTTATGTATCCCATATTTATTACTCACAGTGTATTCTATATTTAACTTTTTGAGGAAGCACCAAACTTTTCACAGTGACTGCACCTTTTTACATTCCCACCAAAAACACACAGGGTTTCAGTTTTTTCCAAATCCTTATTAACCCTTGTTATTTAAAAAAAAAAAATCGTTGTAATACCCATCCTGGTGTGTATGTAAAATGGACTTTGTTGTGGTTTCAATATGTGTTTTCTTGAGGGTTGATGAAATTGAGAAGCTTTTTATAAAATACAGTGTATCAGTGTACTCCAGGCCTTCACAATGAGCTGCACCCCTAGTCCTTATTGAAATGTTTTGAATTTTGAGACAGGATCTCACTAAGTTGCTCAAACTGGGCTTGAACTTGTGATCCTCCTGCCTCAGCCTCCCAGGGTGCCTCGGTTGCGGGCATGCACTACCAATTCCTTGCATACCAGACTCTTTTGGTACCAGAGATTGAACTTGATTCCTTGCACTTGTGAAGCAGGCGGTGAACCCACTAAGATAAATCCCCAGCCCCAGACTCTTTTGATTGCTGCAGCTTCATAGTAAATTTTGTAATTGGGAAATATGAGTATTTTAGTGATGTGGGTTTTTTTGTTTGTTTGTTTGTTTTGTCTTGTTTTTGGTACCGGGGATTGAACTTGGGTCCTTGCACTTGCAAGGCAGGTGGTGGAACCACTCCCCAGCCCAACAATGTTATTTTTGAATACCGTTTGGCTATTTAGGTCACTTTGTAATTCCATGTGATTTTGAGGATTGCCTTTCCCATTTCTGTAAATGGTCTTTTGGGATTTTGTTGGGAATTTCATTGTATGTATATATCTCTTGGGGCAGTACTGCCATTCTGACACTATTATTTTCTAATTCATGAGCACAGGATCTTTGCATTTATTTAGATTTTTTAATTTCTTTTGTTGATTTTTTTTTTTCAGTGTTGAAGTTTGAACCTAAGGCCTTATGCCTGATGCCAGTCAAGCACCTTGCCATTGAACTATATGCTCAGATGTTTTTATTTTCTTACAGTATAGGGAAAAGGAGTCTATAAACTGGGAGAAGCCTCATTAGGCTTTCTAGCTATGCCAGACCAAAACAGTAAAAACTTTAAAAGTAAAAAGTTAACAAAAGCTGATAAGCCAGGCAGGCCTCTAACCAAGTCAGCCTAACTATCTCTCCCTACCTGACAAAGGAAACAAAGCGACCACTTAAAAGACAGTTCTTGGCTGGATGTGGTGGCACAGGCCTGTAATCCCAGCACCCTTGAGGCTGAGGCAGGAGGATCACCTCCTTGAGTTCAAGGCCGGCCTGGACCCTGTCTCAAAAAACTGAAGAAAAAAAAAAAGACAGCTCTTTATATATAAGTATATGTATGTACACACACATGCGCACATACACACAATATATATATATGTTGTCTCTCATTATATTTTCCTTTACTTAATTGCTAACTCGACCTTGTATGTAAAGCCTTCTTAACAAACCCAGAAATTCTTCTGACAGAACAAAAATAAAACCAAAGCTTATGTAAAAACTTGCACACATATGATGGTACCTAGAACAGGACCCTAGGGCCTAAAGTATCCAATCAGGATATAATAAACTCAGGGGAAGTGGGTCTTTTTGCCACAGTAATGAAAAGGGTTGAGGAAGGCCCTCAGGTCCTCCATCTTTTTGGAACCAAATGTTTTTGTGCTGGCCAGGAAGCAGAGCACGGGGGAAGGGTGCCATTGAGAGGCCCCCTCCAAAGGCCCAGCCCCCATGAACCCACCTCCAGCTGGGCTCCGCCTCCTTACGACACATTCAGCTGTGAACATCAGTGGCTTGGTCTGCTGCTGAGTGCCACCATAGCCTGATCGCCTCTCTAGGAATCTCTTCATTCTGTGAAGTTGACAATTAAGATTAACTGCATGGCTAGCAGTTGCCTCTGTAGTCCCAACACCTGGGAGGCTGAGGCAGGAGGATCACTGTGAGTTCAACCTCGCCTGAATAGTGAGTTGAAGACTGGTCTGAACTGCATGGCGAGACCCTGTCTCAATAAAAGAAAAGAAAAGAAAAAAAACTGGCATGACTTACAATGGGGATACATCCTGGCAAACCCATCATAAGTTAAAAATATTATTAAATTGAAAATGCCTTTAGTATATGTATATGAACATCAGCTCAGCAGCACAGTAGCAGTGCCCACATGAGAGCCTGGCCGATGCTGCCCGGTGTTGTGAGAGGAACCTACTGCGTACCACCAGCCTGGGAACAACAGGTCACAATTCAGAATTTGAAGTTCACTTCTATTGACTGCACATCTCTGTCACACTATTTAGAAAGTCGAGTCATTGTAAGTCAGTGGGTGTCTGCTTGGTGGTTCTTTGAGAGTGACCTCTTGTACTTAGCATAAGATACGGTTCGTCCTCATCATGACATTTATCAGTACTTTTCCTTCTTATGCCCAGATAGTATTCCATGGTATGGTTCCACCATGTTTTGTCATTAGCTTGTTTCCACTAACCGTTATGAGTAATGCTGCTGTGACATTCATGAGGCAGTTTTTTTGTGTGGACCTGCGTTTCGTCATCACATTTTAATACAGCAGCCCTCTGGAGTGGGTCCTTGTAGAATGTGTCTGTGTCCACTGCAGGGAGCTTGGATATTTTTGGTCAGAACAAATGGAAGGGTGCTTGGAGAGCGTGGAAACAGCGATAGCCCACCTGGCGCAGCAGCAGTCTGACATTTGATCCACCTGTGTCACTGTGTTGATGACAATCAGCCCTTGGGATTTGGCCACAGGGCGTGTGCCTCTTCGAGGACTGTCCCGTGCTGGCAAGGATAGCTTGCTTCTGGCCACACTGAGGCAGCTGGTGCCTTGGGGCACTGTTGCAGGCATCTTCCTACCAGCCATGACCTGCAGGTCACTTGATCCAAGCCAGTGCCCAAGCCTGTCAGCAGGGCCACCTTGAGAGATCCCCAGGAGAGAACTCTCATCCGCTCTTCTCTCACGGTGGTGCCCCTCAGGAGTCATTGTACTGGGCTGGCTGCCTGCCTGTCTGCCTGGAGCAACCTTGCCCTGACCTCTCTCTGCCTCCTGCCTCATTTCAGGGGAATATATCAAGACCTGGAGGCCCCGGTACTTCCTGCTGAAGAGTGACGGCTCCTTCATTGGGTATAAGGAGAGACCCGAGGCTCCTGACCAGACTTTACCCCCCTTGAACAACTTCTCTGTAGCAGGTGTGTGTCAGGGTGAGCAGGCCAGGGTTCTAGAGCTCAAAGAACAAACAACTGACAGGTCTTGGGGGAACCTGGAATATTCAGTCATTCTTGACCTAGAGCCCTTTTCTGGGCCTGTCTGTTCTCCTGTCTACTTCCCACCCTCCCCTTGCTGTCCTTTCTTCTCAGCTGGCCACTGTGGGGCTGACCCAGTGGGAGATGGAGCATAAAAGGTGAGAAGCCAAGGGCATTTGCACGTCCAGCCTTAGCCCTGGTTCCAGCTTCACCTGGCCCTGTGGTTCCATCCTGCTCTGGCGACAGCCTCCTCCCTCTGTCCCTCTAACCTCAAAGGATCATGGCTTCCAGCTCTGCTGATCACAGGGCCAACCTCATGCCCTTGGTTCCCCTTGTGGTATTGTAAGTGGTATTTGTTTTTAACTGGACCAGCTTCCCAAGCCTAAAGTCCTTGCCTGGTCCTTGAAGAACACAATCCTGCCCTTGGCCTCCTGTCCCCTACCTCCTCCTCCGCAGCTGACCTGGTTGATACCATGTCTTGGTTATCGAACCTGCTAAGAGTGCTTCAGAGGCAGCCCTTCTTCAGTGCCAGCACCACCTTCTCCCCAGGTCCCTGCTACAGCTTCCTTCCCAGCTTTACCCTTCCAGGCCTCTATCCCGAGACTCTGGAATCCTGGCCCCAGTCCCCATGTTGTTCTGCAGAAAGTTTTCTCCTGGGTCTTCTGTCCATGTATGGATAGACGTGACACATCTGTGATATCCCCCACCGTCTGTCTGGAACTTTATCTGTCTCCATCAGCTTCTTGAACATTTTCTCCTGAGTGTCCTCTAGGTCCTTCATGTTCACGCTGTCCCAGACTAACCTTCCAGTTTCCTTTCCCCCAACTGTTTCCCTCCCGGTCTTCATCTCAGGAATGGGCCTGTCGTGCCCTAGACCTCAGACCGGAGAGTCCCCTCTCCTGCTCTCCCCTGCCATCCTCGCCCCCTGCCCGTGCACCACTTTGCTTCAGCATGTCCTCTGCAGCTGGGTCCTGCCCCAGCCTCATCCCTGGCTCCCACCTCCACCCTCACCCTCCACAGTAGCCAGAGGGTTCTGTCTTGGGCTCTTCATGTCCCTTCCTTGGCTCCCTGCTACCCCAAGGACAAAGTCCAGATTCCTTCCCATGGCCTCCAAAGCCCTGCTGGCTGGGCCCAGCGCATTTGGCTGAGCTTGTCCCTTCCCCTTGTGCTTGGAGTGGGTTGGCCATCTCCTGAGTATGTCGGGCCCCTCCCACCTCACTGACTCAGTTTCCTTGCCTTCAGGGCTCAGTTCAGAGGTGCCCCTTCCTTGGGGATGCCCCAGGCTGGGCTGGATGCCTCCTCTGGCTTTTGCCATCGCAGCCCTGAAGACTGAGTCATTATTGTCTGCTGGTCTGGTTGCCTTCCATGCATGCTGGATTTTGAGCCATCTGAGGTCAGGGTCAGGGCCTCTCAGTCTCTCAAGGGCTCCCAGTGCAATTAGCATAGGGGCTGGCCCTGACCCTTCCCCAACCGTCTCTCCCCCACCTCAGAATGCCAGCTGATGAAGACTGAGAGGCCGCGGCCTAACACCTTTGTCATACGCTGCCTGCAGTGGACCACGGTCATTGAGAGGACCTTCCATGTAGACTCTCCAGATGAGAGGTGAGTCTGGGCCTCCATGTGGCTATCCTTTGAGAGTGGCCAAGCCAGGTGGTTGGGGAAGGGGTGCAGATGGACAGATTCCCACTGTACCCTATAGTCCACAGCTCTTCTAGTGTGGGTTGTCCCCAGCTGGAGTTGAGAGGAGCTGGGGTTCTTGGTCTAAAGGCCTCGTTGTATTTGCAGACTTAAGGGCACAACAGAGTCACAGGCAGAACTTTTGCTTGGTGATCTGCAGAGGGATGGTAAGCTGTGTTCCTAATGAGTATCTCCAGGTTCCAAAGCAGAGGTTCAGAAGAGTCCATTGAAAATGATAATTTAAGGGCCGGAGATTTAGCTCAGTGGTACTGCTCTCTGCCTTGCAAGTGCAAGGTCCTGAGTTCAATCCCTGGTACCAAAAAAAAAAAAAAAAAAAAA